CAGATCACTTAATGAAAAGCAAAGGTCTGCATATAACATTGCCCTGTCATGGTGCAGAAATACTATGAAAAATTTGAATTGCTTGAAACCAGAAAAAGTAGATCCCATTAACCTATTTGTTACTGGTGGTGCTGGAGCTGGAAAAAGCCACTTAATAAAGACAAACATTATGTCTAGACATAATGTTTTTTATGTCGGGGCATTTTTATATGATAACCTGTTGGGAGGTTTGTGCCAGGTACGAACAGTAACCAATCAGTAGTAAGGGCGGAGTTTGCTATGTTAAAACCAGGAGAAATTGTCACTGTCTGTAGCTATGTGCTTTATTAATTTTTGCCATAACACGGTAGATTTCGAGATTTTTTCTTATTGTCTTATGCTCCCATTTTTGTACATTTCTTTTGTAAGTTATGCCTCCTAGAAAACATTCTGCTGTTCTGAATGACCGTCCTAAACGGGCCAAACGAACAAAGAAAACCAGCCCATCCGAGATAAGTGAAGTAACACCTCCACTTCCAGCTATGAGTTCCACAACTAGCCATTCCCAGAATGTCAAGAACAGCTCCTTGGATGTCGGCGCTCTATCAAGCACCATTTCTGCCGCCGTTTCTGAAGCCCTTCAGGCTGCATTTCCTGGGGATAACATAGCTGCCATTTTAAAGAACAGTGTTCCTGACAGCTCCAATCCTGTCTCCCCTTCCGTGGACGACGAAGTGCGCACCATCACCGGGGACAATAGTTTCTCAGGTATCGGGGGCGTTCCTGCTAAAGCAGGTTTGGGTGAACCATAACCCCAGCAGATTTTTACTAGTATTGCAGTGGGTCTTCCCGCCCGGGTTAGTGCTAAACTTAAAGCCAAAATATGGGCAAACGAATATGTAGACTTTGGGGCATTGCTTTTTTCCTCCCCTCGAAATGAAGGCAAATATTCGTTATCTATGACACCTTCTGCTGGGCTGCAACGCTCGCCACAGTTCACGCTCGAGCCCTCACAATCCAACAAAAGGATTACTTTGATACATCAATGGGCTTCGGCATTTAATATTTTTGTCTCAGTCTATGCGGAGCGCTTCTCTAGCGAAACTCCAAGTTTAATGAAATCTTGCGAAGTTGTATGAGATTTGGCTTATAAATCAGGCGATTGGTTTTGGTATGACGAACAATTTCGTTATATCAGACAATCGAACCCAGCACTTTACTCATGGGACCAAATACACTGAGAATTATGGCTAAGAGCTGCCAATAGTTTTTGTAGGCCACAGTCGTTCACAAACAAATTTCAGACTCAAACTCGTCAACACTTTCGACCTCCCCCTTTTCCA